GAGCCCTTGCATTAGGGAACACCAGTAAAGGAATAGCATCACTAACATATCACAGGGATCAGCACTGCTCAGGCTGAGCTGGCTGTATAAAATCCTGATTTCAATGAAAACAGCAGCAAAAAAGTAACTGGAGAATCAGGAACTCCATGAATCCCCCTATCAGAAGTAATCAGTGAAACACAGTGGCACAGACCTTGGTGGAGCAGAGGATGGTCTCCTAGATCAAAGCACAACAGCCTTCAGTACCACCACACAGTGATTTCAACTCAAAAGAACACTAGTCATGCTGATGAGTACAGTTTCTTTCTTTCCAAATTGCTACCCTCTTCCATGTTGATTATCTGCACCTAAAATAATTGAAAAATGCATTTTAGCAAAGGATACCATCAGTTTTCATGGGTTTAGATCAGCCTCTGAGCTCAGATTAACTAGCATAAGAGTCCCAGAGTGCCTTCCATCTGAAATCAGATTCTCTCTGTGCGATGTCATTATTCCATTTGTTTCAGTTTTGGTGTATTGCTATGATAGCTAATCCTCTTTGTGTGCTTTATCTTCCTGGTGTTCCCGAAATAAAGTTTGATATTAAAGTTAGATGACAGGCAGGCTAGTCAGAAAGGCAATATTACCTTTGCAGTTCTGTGTTACGTATCTCTAGCTAATGAAAGTAGTGGTGGTGTGATTCTCACTGTCATTTGTGCAATATTCCAGTCAATAATAGTGTCTTGTTGAAATATGCATTAGAGCCCGTAACATTAGTGCAGTGGATACATTCCAACACTCCCCTCTGGTCTGGCTTCCACAAACAGATTTTAAATTACTGTCTAATTAGATCTTAATATTAACAGGAATATTACACAAACTTAAATGAGGATAGAAATTTCAGCTGAAAGCTACTTCCAACCAAACCTGTGCCCCCTGGTCTGCACACCCCAAAGCATTCTGGAAGGTTTCCATTCTCCATCTTGGTTCCATTGATTGCTCTTTTCTAAGCTTTTAGCAACAAATGATGCTTTCTTTTTCCCCATGAAAAAAACTTTCAAATCTGTTAGAGAAAACAAGGAATTATCTTGCTCAGGTTTGAGTCACAATAATCTTGATTACTGCTCTGGCATTTCTTCGATCAAAGCACTAGGAAACTAATGAGACAACCTACAATACCATAGATTAACTTGGTCACTTCCCTCTTTTTCCTTGCTGTTGATCGTGTCCTAATGAGCTGTTACAGAGGAGTCCACAAAGAAGCCTACTGATAAAGGTCACTTTATGTCTTCTCTGTTCATTAGCAATTGAGACGCTATTAGGGGCTGTTGGAGTAACATCCAAACACCCCTTCTTGAGCTGTCCCATTACAGTCATCCCTGTAAAGCAGATGTATGTACAAATTTTTGGCAAAGCAGCTCCAGTCGGATCAGTCAGGATCTTCCTTACACAGTAACAAAGACCAAGCAGAGACTTGCGCCTGCATTGTTCTATTAAGTTTCCTCTTTCTTTTCCATATCACAGCACGCTCAGTCAAAGCTATTTTGGTGCTTCACTGATCAAACTGATTTTTCCCTTTGATGATAATATGAAATATGATAGGATAATAGCGTTGTTATATAATCAAAGTCGACAGCAGGGAGCTAAATTTGTGTTGTTTTGATGAAGAGTACATTAGTGTGACATAAATAGATTAATCTGATTTATTATTATTATTTCTAATGCTTAATAATAGGGAAGGGTAGGGGAAATGAGACTCTGGGGAATGAGAGTGCATAACAAAGTGATAGCAGGCGTTAGGATGTCTTGTCATAAGCAGCACCACTACTACTTGCTTTAGCTGAATTTCAAAATAGAGAGTAGAGAGCAAGAGAGGTTGTTGTGCAAGACTTAATATCTTATGTGGAATAAAACTTATGATGTACCAAAGAAAATGTACTTTGGAAAGCAGTGTTGTGGGAAGAAAACTGGTGTTCATATGAAGACAGGCTGAGAAAGCTGGGGCTTCTCCAGCTTTCTGTAGAAGAGAAGCTATGTGGAGATCTCAGAGCAGTTTTCAGTATCTGAAGGAGGCCTACAAGGATTCTGCAGAGGGACTCTTTATCAGGGACTGTAGTGGTAGGGCAATAAGAAGTCAGAGATAGAGCAGATAAAAATCAGCTCACCTTTCACTAGTGATTTTTCATGTGCAACTGAATAGCTGGAATTAACCTTGGACAAAGGCTTCCCTTTCACAGTCTGTTCCAGTTCCAGACAGCCCAAGTCATTATTCACACATCAGCCAAGAACCACAAAAAGATAAAAGAAGCATATTTTGCCTGGCGTACTGGTGTGTACACGTGAGAGTTCTTTACGGCTGCACAAAGCAAAGTCCTGCAAAAGCTCATGCAAACGTCCAAATGCATGCAGTCTTGCAAAGGAAATGTCTTCCCACTTTAAAATGTTGTGTGTAACAAAAATATAGATTGGACAGAAATGTGGGTTCTTCAAGCAGAAAATAAAAAGAAACATATTTTAAAATCCTAAGGAATGCAGATACATCTTGACTGTCCCACATACACAGTCATACAGATATCTACTCTGGCTCCTTCTTAACAACATATATGGGTTTCTTCAACAACATCTATAAACTTCAACTAAACTAAAGCAGAACTTTTACAAAGCCATTGAGTTTTAATGCAAAGACTGCAAGTAGAAGATGAACCATGACATGCCATGGTAAGTGTCTTCCCTACTTATACACCCCATGCATTAAAATTTACTCTTCATTCATGGTTCCAGAGGGAAGATTGTAGTAGAAAATCAGCTAGAGTATGTAACAGCTTTGAACGACTGGAACTCAACATGATCTTTAGGATATTTAAAGATGATTTTTATATGCAGCAGAATTTTCCACTTACAGGACAAAAGGAAAAAGCTGACCAATGTTTTATAAGATAAAATTGTTGGTTTGGGTTTGTTTGGATGGGGTTTTTCCCCACAAAACTGTTTAAACTTTGCTAAAAGTCCCTTTACACAAGTTCTTCTTTGCAAGGCAGACAGAATTTCACTCAAGTTCTGCAAAACCCCAAAGTTTTTCTGCTTTTCTCCAGTGTCAGATACACCCAGCAGGTGTACATGATATTGATGTGCATATTCCAGGCGTACTTTTTCTTATCTCCTTAGCAGGAATAGAAACCTACATTGATTTGCACAATTTCCACATTCTGGAATGCCACAAGCAAAAACTGCGGTCGTGAATTTGGACAGCACTGTGAACCCCATGGGCCACTCTTGAAAGAAACCAGCTTCTAGGTGGCAATAACTGAGCTGGTTTAACACATCCTGAAGCTGTTTTTCTAGATATACTTGCTTCAATACTTCTGCTGTCAGCCTTAGAACATGGTGCCAGCAGCAGAGCATTAATACACCCAGCATGCTCTCCTACTGTATTCAGGGAAGTTATCCTCACATGTTAGGCTGAAAAAAGTCAATCCTCATCCATCCTCATTAAGAATCCTAAAATATTTCTTCACTAATCTTAATGGAGATTTCCATACCACCGGATTGTATAATCCCAAAGGAAGCTGCATAGGAGAGCCAAAGACATGGATATCTGCTTTTCATCTACTTGTTGAAGCACGGATATGGAAATTAGAACATGAACATATTTGATATACCAAATAATTTAAAGCCAGGGAGAAGAGAACAGAGGAGGAATTGAAATGTCCTATTTCTCCCTATTAATTCTCTTTATAGAAGCCTCTTTGAAAGGGTATCAACATCCATCAGCACACAGAGCTCAGAGCTGGGGCTTGTACAGAAACATACCATCTAGCTTTAATGGGGAAAAAAAAAGGGATTATTGCTTTTACACTGAGAGCACAGAATGGTAGAATCAGCAGGAGGTGATTAGTGCCAAAAAAGGATGTGTTTTGTATGGCGAATTAACACGAAAGGCAGTTTAAAAGATAGGATTAAATCAGAGACAAAGGTGGAGGTTTATAAAACTCCCAGTCCTACCCCTGTCAAATGAAAGATAAATCTCCCAAAGCACTAAATCCCATGTAATCATTGCAAATTCCTATTATCTTAAAAGGGAGCTGGATTAGGCCTCTAATTCAGTCCTGTAAAGTCTGTTTGGTCCAGATGAACAGCCGAGAGATGGACAATCTCCAAGGAACAACTCTATGACATGGTCTCAACATCCTTCACTACAATTTGCCAATGAATCACTCCCAACATTACCCTCCAAACACTGGAGTAAAACTGCTTTTGCCCATCACTGCTAAATGCATTTTGCCTTTCTACCTAGCAAAAAACCAGTATCACATCTTATCTCACAAGTTCCCAGTGAGCCAAACACAAGATACTGTCCCTTGAATTCTTCCTGAGACCAACAAAGGCTTTCCATTATTTACAAATCAAAAGCATTTAGAGACAATCATCTTTATTTTTTTATTTAAAACAAGGAAATGCCCTGTCACTATTATATAAGAAAAAATATACATCCACCTATTTATACCCATCCTAATCCAAGCATTCAAAAAAAAAATATAATTCCTATTCATGCAGGTATTTGCTGCACAAAATAATAATAATAATAATAGAAATAATAATAATAATAAATTTATAAATAAAATTAAAATAACAAAATACACTCTTTGGTTCCAACAATTCTCCCAATTTCTCTTAAAAATTGTTGGAACGGTTGAAAACGATAAAAGGAAATCTAGTTAAATCAATAGGATTATTTGCTTTTGATTATTAATTCCGTTGCTAGTTTTTCTTGTGTTTTTATTATGCATACCAGTTTTACAAAGTGCATGCTTTATTTATTTTTTTTTTTAATTTTGAACTGGCAAGCTAAAATGATCCATCTTTTCCTGCCTTTTTTTTTTAATTAATGTTAATACAATCTAAAATCTAGCATTAAAAAATTTACCATGATACACCTGGTATATTGACTGCTTATGGCGCATGCTTGTCTTGGCAAAAAAGAAATGAACCAAATTTGCTCCCCTCCCACCCTCCCTGTTCCTTTTGGAAGCAATCTAAAAGTTAAAAGCAGACTGGAACACAATTGCCTCAAGGGAAAAAATAACCCAAAATAATACCTGATGCTTTGATTTTTGTCGCATAGCACTAGTCGTGGAATTCCACGCACACGCACGCACACCCAACACGCACACAAGCACACAACCTGCTCGTGAGGAAAAGAGTTTATTAGGTCAAGAGTGCCAATGGCACATGAAGGCTCCCAGCTGTGTGTGCAACTTTGGATTTGGTACCCACTTCACGTCACCTTGAATCCTCTGACATCCACCGAGGGGGTAATGTAAGGCATACTTTGCTGGAACGGTAATAATCCATGCTTCATGCTCAAGAGCTGAGTCTCAGAGGAGGACTGGCTTTCTCTACTCCCTTCAGCCTCACTCCGTCTCACTCAAGGAACAAAAAAAACCCAAAACAATGGAGAAGAACTGGGGGGAAACAAGGAAAGCAAAAGAAGACAAATCCCTTTAAATGGACTTTCGCCTTTTCATCAGCCTGTGGTTATCTGTAAAGCTGTGCAACCCAGGTGAGATGGAGCTGACAGGAGATGGGAAAAGGCTGTTTTTTAATGTGCTTGGCGAGATCTCCTCTATCTTGTAAGAGATGGAGTGAAAGTACTGGGGGTTCAGCTTTGAGCTGAATGAATTTTGGTGGGACACAACCCGGCTGGTGTACTCATGGGACCTGTAACACATGCAGGAACAAACTGACTGAAGGTCTGTTACTTCGGCCTTGTATCGTGGCCGACCATGCTGGGAGTCATCTTGGATGTGGATAATCATGCTGTTGCGGTTTCCTGCCAGGGACGCCCGTTCCTCAGCATCCCGCCTCTCGTCCTCGCTGTTCATGGTCAAGAACCTGAGAACAACCAGATTTAGAAATGCCCCAATGACTGTCAACCCCACTAGAATGTACATAAAGCTAAAAGCCACATAGAGAGGCTTCTTTTGAAGGGCCCCTTTGGTCTGCAGGGCCACATAGTCTCCAAAACCTATGGTAGTCAATGTTATAAAGCAGTAATAGTAAGCATGGAAAAAGCTCCACTCCTCATACTGGGAAAAAGCTGCTGCTCCAATGCAGAGTGTTCCCATGCAGGAGAAGAAACCCACAGTGACCATGTTTTCCATGGAGACCTCGGTGCTCCTCATCCCACAGCACTTTTTGATGCGTTTCAAGAGGTACTTGACAAAGGTGTTCATGCGCTCGCCCAAGCTCTGGAACATGACGAGTGTCAGTGGGATCCCCAGGACTGCGTAGAACATGCAAAAGGCCTTCCCTGCATCCGTCCCTGGGGCAGCGTGTCCATAACCTGGGAATGAAAAGATAGGACAGTCAGCAAGGCAGATCATGGCCACAAGTCCCCCTTTGTGCCAGCCACGTGAATCACAGAGTTTGATGCCACAGCCAGATCCAAAGCTACAGGAACACTGCAGTCACACAGCCTTTCTATCTCCTTGACCGTGTCCTGTATCCAAAGCAAGTAAGACACAGAGAACCGCTGTACACACAGGAGTGGGAAAGATGAAAGGATGGACAAGCCATCCTACTTCAAGTAACTGTGCAGTCTCCTTAACAAGACTGTATTGAATTCATTCACTAAAGAAATGTCACGTCCATCCTTTAATACATACGGAAGTGGAAACTTTGGAAATAGATAGACACTTCAACAGTGTTTTCTGAGAGGAGTTGGTGTTGCCGTATCCCAAACCCAGAGTACACTTATGGCAGCATGGAATTAACAATATTAACACACCCACCAATGAAAGAAATTCCTTTTCAGACTCTTCCAGGCTGAACAAACCTTTCTGCCAGACACCCTATGAAAGCCACTCTCTTCTGCAACACTGTAAGATTCCATGCCTGCCCTCTTTAATTACTGACGAATAAACAACTTACAAGCTTGCTTTGTAGTTTCACAGCTTTTACAGTTAATGTGGCAAAGGTAATTTCATCTAATCCAGGACAGCATAGTTTACAGAAGGTAATATCACATCTAAGCCTTTATTCTAAATCAAACCATAAAGAGGGTGGGGGGTGTTTTGAAATTCTAAGTTCACTTTTTCATATCACACTGCTTTAAAACTCTACATTTCTTACAGCTGAGAATCTAAGTGACAGTACCAAAGTCTCCAAAACGGGATAGCTGGGACCCACCTGGCCATGGTGTACATTGACAATGTAGGTACCAGTATCCAGACTCTCCTTGAAGTTAATGAATAGCAACATGCACTTCTGCACATGCAACAGCTGCAGTTCCCCTCATCTATACCTAGGTCAATGAGTCATTCTTAGGAGACACCTATTTCTCTACAGTCATTATAACAGAAATCCTGGGACAGAACTCAGTCCAGGATTAATACATCTAAATTTTTGCATCTACGTGTGTGCTAGGTGTCCAAGCTCCCATTACAGTCAACAAAGATTTAATGAAAGCAGGTAGTAGTGAGTTATTTAACTGATCACCCCAAGTCTACCTTATGGCAAGATGAAATGACACTGCAGACTGCTCCATTGACCATATTCATTGAGTCCCCATTAGTGTGGCTAAATATCTGTTAATTGCAGAAGAATTTAGACACCTACTACACAAGTAGACAGACATATGCAAACAGCCAAATGCAGGCATCTTAATCATGAGTAGAACTTCAGTGCAATGTAGGTGTCTGCATTGTGGACACAAAGGGTTTAAATTAGCAGCATCTACTAGCATTTGAGACCTCTGAGATATCAGGATATCCAGATGAAACACAGGGCATACAGCAGACCCACACTCTTACAAATCAGATGCTGGAGGTCAGACAGCACCTTAGATACTACTGAGGCAGGATCATTCCCTTCGTACTGCCTCAGTCCTACTCCTCACCTTTACACCCATGTAATGAATCTGCTTCTCTATCTGACCCTTTCTATGAAACTTCTGACACTGCCCACCTCCTCAGTCTCCTGTGGCAACAGATTACAGAAATTCACTACCTGCATCATGTAGAGCAATGTCCTTGTTTCAGCTCGTGCTTTTTAGCCTTAGTATCAGAGTTCTACATCTGCCTTCAGCTAAACTCAGTTTTACCTCCGCTCTCAGTTTTCTCCTTTCTGAACTGGAGCCACAGGCTTTTTAGCTCATATAGCAGAATTCCCTTGGTCATTTCAATGTCCTTCTCTGGACCTCCTTTAGCTCTATTGCATCATTTTTGAGGTGCAGAAGCCAGAACCCTGCACAGCCCTCAGGATGTGAGTACAGCATGGTGTCTGCAGTTCTGTTAGTACAAAAGTATGAACACCATTCAACCTTCAAAATGGAAATCAACAGTGGATAAGGAAAATAAAATGAGAAAATGAGCAATAATGCCCTCCAAGAAGCAGCAGGCATTTCTTCAGCTCAGTTGCTAGTTGTTAGCAGATGGATGGTGACAAGGTCTAGTGTGAGACATCCCTGCCCATGGCAGGGGGTTTGAACAGGATGATCTTAAGGTCCTTTCCAACCCTAACTATTCTATGATTCTATTATTCTATGTAAAAAGCACAAAAGCAGCACATTACTGAATATAGAAAGTTCTTTTTAGGTTACAAAACAAAGGGATTCACCTGTTGTATCGGGCTAGATAGCCTGTTCATCATAAAAAGCAGTTTTCCAAATTACCTGGAAAGTGAAATGTCTTGAATAGATTGATGCAGGGTTTGTTCCACCTGATTGTCCCTCAGTAAAGGCTATAATTGCCTCTCATTACTAAGATCAGCTTTTGAACTACAGGGGTGTTAATTAAACCAGGGACATCTTCCCATTTTATAGCTTTAGTTACAGCTGATAAAGAGAAGGAAAGCTTTGGAAAATGTGATTTTCCAGATGGTTGCAGGGATGGCAGTTGGTGGAAACAACTTTCACTTTGGGTTCTAAAGAAAATGGCTGGGGTGAAAAAAACTTCCTCTCTATATTGCTATATCCCTCTCACTAAATATATCCACAGAGGCAGTTTAGGGAAATTATAAAACATTAATGCTTAAACACTATCTCACAACTGCATTTCTAAAATTTGCCACAGACTTCAGAATTAACTTGGGACTCACAGCTCTCCCATAAGACAGCAACATACCCAATTCCCTGCTTTACAGACAGGAAAGCACAGGCACCAGCAGGCTATAACTCACAGAGGTAGATAGAATATCCAGAAGTTCTGATTTCTATTCTGTCCCATGTCATACTCACTTTCCACAATATCAGATTGCAAAATACAAAAATGTATTTTACCATATTTTCACCATGAAGCTGGGCTAAAGGAAGGACTTTATTAATGAAGATGGAATAAAACTTTGCAAATAGATTCATGTATAGGGGAACAGAGTCATATATTTCTCCAGTACAATATGGCTTTAAGGAATAGGCACCTTAGCCATTTCCTCCTACACTGGAATGATGGGTTTCAAAACACACTAGACAAAGACTTAACTCTCCATTACTTTAGCATTACAGAATCTATCCAGCAATACAGAGCAATGCGTGAAAAGCAAACTCCAGCACTGCACGTTTTCTGAAATTCAGTAAATTTCAAATTTAAAATGAACCACTCTCTTTTCAACATCAAAGACTGCCTCTGGGAAACATGAGGACATCAGTCATTGCCAGAGAGAGGGGCACAGAGGATCATTAATGCCAGAATCAGTCTCCAAGTAGCTGGGCTTTACTTGTCTGAAGTAAAGGCAGAAGCAGAAACCACTTGGTAGCAGATTTCAGCTAGCAAAATTCAGCCCAGCTTCCTCTACATGAATGTTTCTGCCCTTTACCAGAATATAAAGAGATGATGCCATGTGAACCATAAGAAACACATGGTTCACAGAAGAAACACAAGGCTCAAAGAGAAGTAGAAAGGTTAAGCATGAGATTGGCATTTCTCACACTTCTGTGGTGAAGAAGAAAGATGAGAAGACCTTAAAATTAGGTATAGCAAATGCATCCCCTAACAAGCCATGTGGCTGTGATAACAATGAGAAAGGTACAGATGAAGCTTTACACTGCACCACACCTAGGTAAGTACTACCTATACTATAGTACTTCACTATACTAACCAGTTTGCTGAGCTCCCACAATAAAGTAATGGAACCACAGCAGGCAGATTTCTCTGATATTTAATGAGACATAATCTGATTGATCAAGGACAATCTAAATAACTTTCACCTTGATTGGAAGTGATGTCATTAGCACTCTCTCTTTCATAATAACACCCAGCTGCTTAGGCTTTCAAGACAAAGCTCATCTGGGCTGCCACCAAGAATGGTTCAGCATGAAGAAATTCCCTGTCTCAGACTGTTACTCCAATTCTGGACTGCAGAGCACCAATGCACCACAAAAGCTGTCTCCTCCTGATTACAGAAGGGCTGGGCTACACATATCAAGCAGAACTTGCAGGCAAGGAGGCAAGGGAGGCAAAGGGTCAGACTGTAAGGAGTTGCACACCGAATGTGTAGTCTGTTAAAGTCTTCACTGCCCTTGATCTTTCCAGACCTTGTCCATTGTCAGGTGGAAAACTCTCAAAGACCACATGCTTCTATATGCAATTCTAGAAAGAAAGAATACTATTTTCCTGTTTGCCAGAGTGTAGTCTGGGAAAAACCTACTCAACCCCCTTCAAAGCTTATTTTTCCATGGTTTCTTTCAGATGGGACACAGAGGGAAACTCATTATAGATTCTACGTGAGATCCATTCAGGAGGACAATCCAAATATCTTTCACTTCTAAAAGGACATTGTGCTGGGGTACCAGGCCACAACCCTAGCATGCAGTGGAACACAGCGCACATGAATCATTCCCTATTTCCCTTCTTTGTGTCACTCATGGTTTTAGAGACATTTTATCAACAAAAATGCCATGCCTGCATTCAGACTCTAAGCAAGTATCTCTGGCACTGTATAGCCTCATGTGGACAGACCAGCCTGTTTAGATCTACATCGGTGATCTTTGCACCACGCTCAGCTGCAGCGTAGACAGGCCCGTAACGTCTGACTTGTCCTCCAACACAAATTCTCTTGAATAACACTTTGCTTCTGGGGAAAAAGAGTCTCAACAAACACTTCCATACCACTGCAATGACACAGATTGCCCAGAATAAGTAGATCTATGATAAAAATTAAAACATTATGGGAAAAAATCCTTTCACTGTACTACATCTACATGGAACCAACTACAATACTGTAAGGCGATAGCTACTATAGCAAAGTAAACTGGGAGAAGGGATGGATTCCACCACCAACCCATGAGTGTCCACACTTACATCATTAGCACAGTTTGTGTCATGGCTTTACACTGGACCAATCAGCACT